TTTCCCATGCGGTTTACTATTTTTGGTAAACACAGGTAACGCGTCTCTGGGATACCCCAGCAATCCTTCTATTTATCGACCCTCCCTCTTATCAACAAATTTTATCTTTTTTTCTTTCAAATTTTTTCATTCGTCTAGATCGCAGCTTTGACTCGTTTGGCGCAGCATTGTCATATCTGGCTCTTAAGCCACTCACTAGTCTTTTTTACAACGTTTTTATGTATTTCACTTGGTGTGTGTCTGTACGTGTGTGTATCAGTGTGTCATCAAATTTTCGATCGTTACTTTAACCAACTTCCCATCAAGCTAGAGCCCTGAAACTTCTTACTTGCCAAACAATACAATATTTAGACGTATGCAACAAGTTTTAACTAATATTTCAATAATTTTCTTCGGGATCAGGGCTGGCATGACGAATAAATGCCAACCTTTGTTGTTGTCTTGTTCACTTCGGCCTGAAAAAAATATGAAATAAATTATAAGTAAAATAATGTTTAAATTTTCTTACCTCCTCTGCGTTGTTTTCTTACTCTCTCCTTACTGTAGCCAGCCTTCTTCTGTGCATCTTTTGGCCCATTATTTTCTTATGTGTTTATCATGTGTTTGTTTTGAATTTAATGTATAATAACTAATAAACTTTGCCACCATATAAAAACGTTGTTTTTAAAAACGTTGGTTTTTATATCGAAATATTAAATTTTTTCAAACGTCTAGATCACATGTTCCACTTGTTTTTGTGTGTGTGGCGCAGCATAGCCACACACCTGGCACTTGTACCCTTATGAAACTTTCCTTCCGTTCCGCAGGTTTCACCAATAAACCAAAAAAAAAATTCTGAATGTACTGAGAATAGTTATTAACAACACGAGGAAACTGAATGCTTAAAGGGCATCTGACGCCTCGATAGCCTTGCAAATAAGAATAATGACAGTGAATGAATGTGTACCAATAAAATTATTTTCTCCATAAATATTAACAGTATTTCATAACACAGTACTCGTTAACGCGTGGCTTTACTATGGTTCCTTTTTAAATTCCTACAATTAGCTCACACTCTCTCTATATATATCTTGTTCAAATTTTCAATCGTTAATAAAATACTTTTTATTCATCCACTCAAGTTCAAATACATTTTTTAAAACTTGTAGTGGGTGATACGTAATGTTTATACAGTTTTTTCAAATATTAATTCAATTAATCTGTGAAAATGCAGTTTAGCACAACCACTTGGCGAGATTTCAAAAATTGCCAAACTTGGCGATTTTTTTTTTTTTTTTTTTTTTTGGCTGAATGTTAATCCCTGGAAAAAAATTATTTTACCACTTTACATTACGATTCTGTCATATGTATATATATATTTATATTAATTGTAATTATTTAATAAAAAATAACAAAAATAACAAAAATTTCTTTGCTGACCTAAGTAGGAATTGACTTTAATTTTTTTTTATATTACTTGTTATGAGACGCAGATTAATCTTCTATCAGATGACGTCAGTACTTCCTATTAAGCAAAAACTTTAATACCATTTTTTTCTCTTTCTGTTTTATATATCGTGGCATGAACATGTCATGGAGCTCCAATTTTCAATAGCGAACTTATACTCCGAATACGACACGCATGAAACTTGAGAAAGAAATGTCAAATGGTACTTGCGAACCTTTAGGAGCTAAAAATGAAGCGAAAGAGTACTATAAAAATCTCTTATGAAACCATAATCCGCAAGTTCCCTGATTGTAAAGTGCAGGTAGTGGCTTTTGTCACAAAAGACAAAAGATAAAAATCCCACTAAGTGGAAAGGAACAAAAGATTGTCTTTCAGGCGCATTTTTTGAAAATAAAGCGCTAAGGGAGGATCGACGAATTTTAATACTTTTTATTTATCTATTTTTTTTTTTGGATTTGAATGCTTGGATAGGATTAGAATCACCATTTCTCGGAGAGTGAAATGTTTCAGCTTAGATTACTTCTTTGTGAGAGATTATTCTCAAGATCTCGCAGTCAGCGAAAATTAGCTGAATGCTCAAACATTTTTATTGGTCAAATTTTAAGTAATATAAAGATTTTTTTTCTTATTTAAATGTGATTTCCGTAATAATTAAAAAATAATTTTCGAAGGAGTTTAAATGTAAACGCAGAAAATTTCTGTCGATTTTGGAATTTATATTTCCACTTAGTTTACATTAATACTCCAATTTGTGGCTTCCTCAAGTAATAGAACCCGTCTACCATGAGTTAAAAGATGCAAATCTAGGTTCTACAGCAATTTTAATTAACACCTCATATTTTGAACCACTGTATTATTTGAATGGCACGTATTTTCATGAAATTACCAGCGTGATGCTAATTTCTAACTGGAAGAAAATATTTGAATAATTTATGAGAAACTTTCCTGTTTTCTATACAAAACGTTAACAAGTATTTTCCAATATATAATTACTACAACATTTTTGTGTGTGGTTAGAGCCTCCTCTATCTTTTCAGCACTATGATACAATTTAAATGGTTCTGTGTTAGGAAATCTGCAGCATATTGCTAAATTCTAATCATAATAGAAAATTATTCATAATCAAAAAAATAATTCCAACTGTGTTATGAAAGGGGAGTGAATAACTAGGGAATTAGGGAAAATATGTATAAGCAGGATTGTTACGGTTGAATAGTTCTGGATTTTTTTTAAAAAAAGAAGTAAAAATATTCTAATTTTAGAATTGACAACATACCTTTTTTCTATTTTTCAGTAATTTTATGTAATATATAAATATTCTCCAGATCATTATTATACAAATATCTGATCTCCATAACTAACAAATTTAATTACTATAACACAATTCACTGATCGTTGGAAGACATGTTGCCTTTCAACGATCAGGGAAATGTGAATAGTTAATGAAATAACTTAATTTTCTTCTATAAATTAATGTAATCTGGAAGGAGAATGTACTTGCCTTCTAAGAAAAATAAAATAAATCATATTCTTATAAGTTGTTATTATTTCGAAATAGTTGTTTCAATGCTGATGTGTAGAGAATTCTTTCTTACATCCTTTAAGAACCACTATATTAATTAACGGATTCAATATTAGATATCATAAAACCGAAAGCATAAGAATATGAATTAAACAGAACACATTTTATCACGCATAACATTTTTTTTTTCAGTTACAGGAATAGAAGCAAGAGTTGGGAGAAAATGTTTTTATGGGAGCGAATACATTAAATTTTTTATTATTCTAACTATTTAATTATCTTTGCGGTTTGTGAGCAATCACAGGTAGCAATCACTCTTTTGATGGCTCTTATATAATTATTTGAATCAAATCAATGAAACAAATTTTATTACAGAAACTAATTTAATTCAAATGCTGTAATCAACCAAGGGTTCCAAAATATTATAAGAAAAGCCCTCCGTAAAAGAACCGATAAAATTATGACTAGATGTTTTTGCATATGGGGAATTCATTAAAAACAAAATTTCATTTGTATAAATGTTAGAAGCATTATAGTCACACATTGATAATTTTTAGAATTTTTATTTTACATATTTAAACTTCCATTTAAATCTCATAGTCCAATATGAGCAAAATGACCTTGGTGACAATTTTTGGATCAATTTTTACATTTCCTCTTGAACATACTTTTCCCTCTTATAATCGTAGATTTCCACAAAAAAGTAAGAAGAAATAAAAAAGGTTGCATGTACCAAAAATTAACAACATCTCTAAATACAACATAAAAAAAAAAAAAAAAAAAAAACTTGTTCCGAATAATTTCAGAGTAAAGTATACACCAATATATTTTCAAAACAATACTAGAGTGTCCTTATGAAAGAGTCGAGGGGAAAAAGGTGATGTTCAGGGGAAATGAGCACCTGTGACCAATTAGCTGCCTATCACCCTACAGCTGATAGGTGTGAGAATAAATCGATTTCATTTTCTTCTTTAATAGGAAATGGTGACAGATAGTTTATTAATGCAACATAACACTTCTCCATATTACTGCATCAGTGCTAGCTACAGCTATTTGAAAAACAATATAATTCTCTAACTGATAGTTTGCATTCGAATCTCCCTAGAGTTGATGAAGACTCAATCCAGATAGCTTCAGCAACTTAACCAAGTTCAATAACTTAACCAAGTTCAGTAACTTAACCAAGTTTATAATATTAATTTTCAGATTCAGATGCTTATAGGGATTTTTTCCAAAGATATAGTGGATTAGGAATTCAATTTTGATTATACATAGATCTGAATGACACGATTTGGTTGTCGTCATTGTGTGAATTCCTTTTCGTTGGATTGTTGATAAGTCACGATTTAAATAATTAATAATGACAGCAGTTGTAAATTGCATTGTAAATAGGTGTTTCATAATGCTAGGGATTAAAATAACAGTTAACCGGCTTATCCATACTCTAGGAAATTATGAGTTTGAACCTCATATCATTACCGCTGATTCTACGTTGTTTTCTCGGGTAATTCGATAAAATGTGTAAGTAACTGTAATAAACTTCTTATTCTTCGAACTGGAACATAAATAATAAATGATGATTTTTAAAATTCAGTGTGCATAACTTCTTTAACTTTAACAGGTACTTAACCAAAGGAAGTAAAACTTAATTTTGTGATCAAAATAAAAACTGTCATACTACATGAACCTCGATTATACTTCCCTGTCTCGTTACTTTAATAAGGGAAAAGAGATACTTCGTCTTACTTTTTTCCTCGAAAATTTATACATCCGTATCCCATAAACACATTATCCGCTAACAAAGGACAATTCGACTGTTTGTCAGAGTCTGAGATTCAAAAGAAAATTTTATGTAAAGCAATGAATAAATAAAACACAAGCATGAATCATGCTTTCGGGATCGGATATTTCAGTGCTACAGCAAGTTTTATGAATATGTTGCGCATCACTTTCTCAGGGCGGGATCTACCACTATTTTCAAACAATGTCAGAGGTATGGTTATAAGTAATAACTAATAAACAATACTTTCTGCCCAGATGAGCCCCTATGGTCCGGTGTGTGGGCTTCAAACCCGTAGCTGACAAGATTCAGAGTGGTTCGATTTCATCTTCTGGGCATGGGCAGAGTCGAGAAGTACTTCTTTAAAATGGGTTAATGTTTTTGGAACTATTTTCTATGTTTTCAAAATAAATATATTTTTCACAACGAGTCTAATAATTTTAACCAACAGGAAATTTTTATGATCAGTTGATGAATGCTACAAGAAAGGATACCACTTAAAAACTCATTCGAATGTAATTCTCAAAAGTAATACAAGCGATTTTTTAAGATAAAACATCGTAAAAAAGCTTTCGTGTATTAGTAGGAAGTCTATACATATGTACATTTTCTGAACCTGTTTCATAAAGCAATTGTTAAATACATAGTACGTCAAGGCCAAAAAATAGCTTGTATCTTCTTGAATATCTGTATTTTTTTCATATTATAAATTTGAATGCTTATGAAAAAGTTCTTATCGAATTAATTATAAAAAATTAAAACTTATATATGAAATAATTTGAAGAGACGTATATCACCATTATTTCAAATAAAAATAAAATGAATGAAAAAATATATAAAATATCATAAATGAAAGCGCGTAAATGTCTCTTTCTGCTCAGATGAGCACCCAGTAATTAAGATTGTTTATTAAAATCATAATGAAAATCAAAACGAGGGTTTTGTCAACGACCTCGTAATTTTGAGCTTTGGGGAAGTAATGGTGATGGTACCTGATCTGATACCACTCTCACCAAACTTCCTCATCTTGCCAACGGAAGAAGCCCTGACAAACCTAACACGCATCAGCTCCTCTACACAGTGGATCTTTGCTGGTTTCAGGGGTTGAAGCAATCATAACCACAAAGATATCAACGCAAAGTGATGTAAGAATAACCATTTTGAAACTCACTACCTTATACTTTGTTGTATTATTTGATTTTCCACTTCTTAGTATGCCTTAACTTGTCTTTACGATTAAAAAGAATTTTAAATGACAAAATAAAACTGATTTAACTGTTAGCATTCGTTTACTAAATTTCTTGCTGATTTCAAATATTTTTGATTTAATATATCATATAAAAATTTTTACATGTATATTTTGGGGATGCCAAACTTTATTACGTAACAGTTTGCAACTAATTTCATGTTTCACTTTTTGAAATATAAATCAATTCCTGAGCATATTAAAAGCTTTATTTTTTTCTGAGATTTATCGTCTATTTTAATGTAAAAGAACAGTACAAATTCATACTGGTTTCTCGATAAATAGTTTGGCATTTTTATTTATAAGAAAACAAAAAATTTTAAGAATTACTGTTGTTAAAAGTTAGCCATTCAAAGGAATACAGTCATAATTATTTATGAGTATATTAACCCTTCACAATTTTCGAACTGCGAGTAATGCTGGAGTGATATTGCATTCTGCCAAATGAACATTAAAATGGTCCGTTGTGTGCACTTCAATCATAAAGCGGAAGGCATTCAAAGTCGTTCTAATTCAACTTCGAACGACTTCAGACTGATTAGAATTTTTTTTTTTAAATCATTTTTGGTACTAATTTTTACACTTTCAGAAGTAAAGGTTTCCTTTTTTCTCATATCAAGGTCTTAAGAAATATGATATACATTTAATATGTTAGTAACAACTGTAAAAGTAAGAAGCCTTATAATTTCATTTCGATAACAATTTATCAGTAAGATATTTTGCTTTTTCCATTATTTCAGTGGCATTTAAATTAATTTTTGTTGTATTATTTTGATTCTTTTTTCTATTGGGATTGGACCTGTGCTTAGGAAAGATATTTTTCTATTCTTTTTCGATATTTGTTTTTTTTTTTTTGGGGGGGGGGGAACTTTATTGTATATCCTTTTGTTAAGCAATTATTTCAAAATTAAATTCTGATATGAGAAAAAAAATTACTTCAAAGTACGCATATTTGATTCAAAATTTTTTACTAAGAACACATAAAAAAGTACGATTTCATTTTATTTTCTTCCTCGGGAGTTCACACATCGATATTCGATAAAAAAAAAAATCAAACGTTTCCGCTGACGTAGGATAAATCGTCTGTTTTGAAACATCCGAAATTCAGGAGGAAATTTCATTTAAAACAAAAAGTAAATAAAACACAAGTATAAAAATACATTAAAAGCGCACTTTGGAAATCGGATATTTCAGTGCTACATGCCTTATGCATACATTACGCATACCTTTAACAGGAGAAGATCAACCACTATTCTCAATTGATGGCAGAAGTGTAGATATAAATAGTGGCTAATAAACAATTCTTTCTGCCCAGATGAACACCGGTGGTCCGGTGTGCGGGCTTCAAACCCGTAGCTTACGAGAGTAAGAATGGTTCGATTCCATCTTCTGGGCGATAATAAAGAGATGAAGGACTTTTTTAAAATTGTGTTCGTATTTTTCGAACTATATTCTATGCTTCCAATATAAAGATTTTTCTATTCGCCTAATAATTATATGCTTATATCATTAGTTTATGAATTCCAAAAGAAATTATACTATTTAACTGAAAAAACTTCATTCAAATGTTGTTCATCCTCTCAAAAATATTAAAAGCACTTTTTAAAACAAGACAACATGAAACGACCTTTGTATATGCACACTTTCCGCGCATGTTTAATAAAGCAAATGTTAAATATATAGTTTGTCAAGGTTAAAAATCAACTTAAATCTTCTTGAATATCCGTATTTGTTTTTCATACTATAAAGCTGTATACTTATCAAAGAGATCTTTTCAAATTTAGCATAGAAAACTTACACTTGTGTATAATATCATTTAAGAAAGTGATATCTACCTCTATTTTCGAGTTGGTCATGGATATTAAAAATAGAAGTGAGTAAATGCACTTCTCTACTGCTACAAGCATATGAGGTACCGTTTAACCTTGTCTACTCTAGTCTAGAGGTCATGGTCAGGAACTTGCACCCGGCCTAGTTTCTGTCGAGTAGTATATTAGAGCATTGATGCTGCTAAAAATCCGTCATATAGTTCCGCCAGAACCATAAAGATCCGCTTGATACACGTTAAATCTGGTTGTGGTCCCAAGTCCTCCCGCTGGCTTGGGGTGGAAGTTTAAAAAGGAAGATGCTAGCTCAGGCATCATCCTCGTCTATTGGCAGAAGTTCAAAATTACGAGGTCCGTCGCTAACAGCCCTCGTGTTACTTCTCAGTACAACTTTAACAAACAATAGCAATCATGCGGGTTTCTAAATCGGAGCCGATCAGAGTTAGAATGGTTCGATTTCACTTTCCGGGCATCAAAAGCGGTAGAAAACCTTTTAGGCGAAAAATAATTCTTATGGAGATATTATTAAAACCTGATTTCAATACTTTCCTATATTTAAATATTTTATCCTCCTGATAATAACTTTAACTTAGACGCATGATTTTGGTTGCATCGTTATTACTAACGTCCTAAATTTTGGTATTGCTCAGCATGTTTATTCCAGAAATTTTAACGTCACTGAAAATATATTTCCAACATATCAGGAACGCATTTTTTCTTCAAATTCATAGCAAATATGTTTTTCGCAAATTTCTTTGATATATATATATATATTTCGGGGATAGCTAATGAGCTGAAAATAATTCGTACTTTTTTTATTGACTTTTTATTTATTTTCTTTAAATGTTATACTAAATTTTAAACTAAATTTGAAGCTGTCGTATAATGCAAATATTCTTTTCGAACAAGATGAATTACTCTCATTTTGTTTTTGATGGCCCTCCTCGAACCTTTTTTGCAGCATTCTCACCATCATTAGAAAAACCTATTACAAACGTGGATATGAAAAGTGCGAGTGTAATAACCTATGGTTTTGACGGGCATCTAAACACAATCGAGGCGGTTTTCACAAACGAGATCTCCAGCCTTAGCCAAACCAAATGTTCAACAATAAGATGAATTAAAATATTGGAATTATGCTCCAGATTTCTTCTGGAATAATGGGAGGAAATAATAGCCAGATCCTCCGCAAAAGATTCAGCTAAAATGTTTTGCAATTAATTTCCGAAATAGAATTAAAATATAAATTCCACAGAGCGGGTTCAAGCACCAAAACCTGAGGATAGCCTTAGGTAATTAGATGCTTTATCTTAAAATTTATATTAGAAAAAATAACATGACGATTTATTAAATAAGAGTAAATAAACTTTCGATAACAGATTGGAAAATGAAGATTTCTAAAAGTTTTAAATAGAACAGAACAATCTATATTGTCGAACGCATCCTTAATTTCGATAAAAATAATAGCAACATGTTCTGTATATCTATTCTGTTTCATATACGAAACCAAAAGGAAAATTGCGTCATAACAGCTAAATTTTCCTTTGAAACCAAATTGAAATGGATGAATAATATTGTTTTAATGAATTCAGAAATTTAATATATTGACAAAAATAAGCTCAACAATTTTTATTTAGTCTGCACGAAATAAAGGATGATAAGTCCTTACCAGATTTAAGAAGAAGTTTCAATTTAGCGTCTTTTAAATTATTTGGAAAATAGGAAAATTGCACACATGCATTTATAAATTTCACTAAAAGGCTAGGAAACTTTAAAATATTATAGTTTAAAATATTATATCAGGAAGTCTTCCCACCGCAAAGAGTTTTAAAAACCAAAGATACCTCATCAATGGAAACTTTCGGAGGAGGCGTCGATTTCTCAAAATTCAAATCAAATGTCTTCTTAGACTTTGGTAAAAGAGAATCTATTAGAAATTCATATTTCTACTTTTGAGAGTCATCAAATGAACTAGAAATTATGAGCCGAGACTTCAGGAACTTCCCAAAGGCAACCATGAACTTCAGGCCAAAATTTTCATTATTGGTGGTGCAGAAGGGCTCCTAGGCCTCTTGTTAAGCCCCAGTCAATTAATACCAAGGGAGTTCGTGGTGGTAGCGTCTTCTGTAGAAACTCCATTTTTAAACTAAACAATTTTTACATTTTTTTTTAATTTCATAAATATTTAGGTATTCTGATTGACTGTCAGCTATCCTGGAGCCCTCACATTAATTATCTTAAAGAAAAAATATTTATAATCTTTCAT